GGGGACACCACGTCTACCCGGTCGGCCGGCCGGCGGCGGCGGGGATACCACGTCTACCCGGTCGGCCGGTCGGCGGCGCGGACACCACGTCTACCCGGCCGGCTGGACTTGGGGCTGTTTATAGGCCGCCCTCGGGACACCAGGTCTACCCCACCAAAAAAAAAAAAAGTGCTGTCATCAGCGCTGACCTGCGGCAAAACCTGCCCTGCGGAGTGCCCGGAGCTGCTGCTGCCGTACCGAGGAGCAGCCTGCAGCCATCGGCTGCGGGAGGAAGGGCCCCGGGACCTGCTGTATTAATATGTGCTGTTCGCTGCTTGTTGACACAGTTATGTGGGAAATATCAGCTCGGGGAGGTGCTGGGAGCACGTGATCCGCTCCATTCATAAAATACCTGGCTGTCCATTCACAGTGCAGTACAGTGTCTGCATTCAGCAGCCTCGCAGCTCAGACCTGCATGGGGAGGGAGAGGCAGCCAGGCCGGCAGGTTTGTCGGAGAGGGCAGCAGAAAGAGAGCTTGTGGCTGCGAGCATGGGGGTTAGTGAAAATGGGGGTTGGGGGAGTCGCTCTTATGGTTCGTGTTTGTCCTTTTTATATAAAGGAGCATTAGTGCAGAAGCACCTTCTCTCTGTACCATCTGACGTTTAAGCAAGGAAGAGTTTTATTCAGAAAATGTGGAAATGCTTCCCCCTCCAGAAATACTGACTCAAAACTAAAATACTGAAAATCAAAATCATTATTATGAATGTGTTTTCAAAGACAATACGTTAATCCATTTGGGGTAGTTTACATCTTATTGAACAATACATCTGCAAGATACCTACACAGTGTAGAAGGAAGTCGGTCATCTCTGAGACATTTGAAAATGTTGCCTATTATAAAACACAGGTAACAATGAAGACAACTAAATTGATAAAATCAGCAATGCAGCTCAATTTTGTCTGTTTACTTCAAGAATTTTACAGCAGATTAGCTATCGGCATTTCCTCTTACCCTATGCCGTGGCTGAAGAGATCTCTGAAATATCAGAATAAGAGAAATGTTTTTAATATGGCATAAACCGTTTAGAGGTCAGTGTATGAACTTTGATTTTAAATATTTTGAGATATTTTAGAAAACAAAATCGAAACTGAATGGTGAAGGATCCTTGAAGCACACAATGTATTTGTTTGATGTAACTGTTTTGTGGTTGCCAGTGTTAAAATGGTGATGTTCAGAGCTCATGAATACACTATTTCATTATCTTAACAAATCACACTAAGGTGATCCTTAATTATACATTCGTGGAGTGGAGGAGGCTTTGTTGTTAGCATAACCTAAGAGAATACCTGAAAGATTACTAGTCTTTACTTAAAATGAGAAAGGAAGGCTCACATACAGTATTTGGTTTGAGTTAATTCAGTGTTGTTATAGAGCTAAATGTGTGTAACCTTACGAAGCACTATAAGCAGTGTTTTTTTTCAAATAATAGATTTTTTTTTTTTCACTCTGGTTATTAGAATATCAGAAGAAAAATATTTCTCTTCTCGGTTTCATTTGCTTTTTTTTGACAGCATTTTTGGTGAGGCCAGAGTCGTCGTTCCTCTCTGGCTGATTTTGCACATAGCACAAGCATGTCACGTTAAATGATTGGGAAATGTGATTGAAACTCCAAATAAACCATTTGTGAAAATAAGGCAGATCTACAAATTGAAATTATCATATATTGAGTTCTTTGTGTTTAATTTTATCAGTGTAATTGATGACATCAGTGGCCTTGAATTCATTAAGAAATCTCTTGGCATATAAAGGCGAATACGGGTACTTTGCAATGCATTTTGTGTCATTGTGGCTACTGGGAATATTTTGGCAGTTGAGCATTAGTCTCTGATTATAAAACTTCATTTTATGGAGTAAGATATAAATATTTGTGATGTCTAGAGTTTGACCTCAGTTGTTAATGTTAAATTATCAGTGGTGGTGGGAATATTAATTAAAAACTGCATTAAGGACTACTAGGTTTCTTGTCAGTCATGAACATATGGAAGGCAGCCTTCTAAAATTCTGATTGCCACGGATGAATCTTCATTGGTGATTTTTACATTGTTCTTGTAATGACGTTACTGCGTTTGTCAGCTGGGTATGAGTTAAATGAGAGTATTTCATACCTCCAGGTAATAATTTTTTTTTTCCCCCTCAGTGGTGTTTTGCAGTCAGTGTGGTCAGCATGAACACAATGTGGTGTTCACAAATACGATCAGCTTTTAAATTATTTTGGATTTAGGTTTATGATTTAGGATTTGTGGACTCATTTGCTGTTCATGCAACTTGACATAATAATGTCAAATCAGGCAGGTCAGCAAGCACTGTGCCGAATTCCTGTTTTGGTGGTAGATTTTATTGCTGTCTAGAAATGCTACTGAATTTCAGTGTTAGGTGAAACAGAATAATTGTTATGTAGCCCCCATTCAGTAGGGATGAATGATGACAGGCTTAAGATGGAGTCTGGGTTGCTGCTGTTGAAAAGTAGGAGCAGTGCTTTATTGGCTTGTTTACTTTCCTCTGTATTGCAGGTGGCCTCTTTCTTTTTCAGGGAATGCTTGTGCTCTTGAATTATATTCAGAGTTGCTTTTATGTGTTGTGTTTTTACAGATTCAGACTGTCATATGCTAATTGTTTTGCTACATAGATACAGCTAATCTTACGCTCATTTGCCTAGATAATTTAATTCAAGAGATTATAAATTAAAGAAACATGGATTGTGTACTAATGCTGTCTGTTAGCAGCTTCTGGATTATGATGTTATAAACATCCTCAAGTGTTGATATGAAAAAGTAAAGCTGAGCTAAATTTTTAAAATAAAATACTTGATATGTTCATGTCTTCCTTCAGTATTTATAAAAATACTGTTTATACTTCATTTGTGCTTCTGAACTTCTTATATTGCAAGTCCAGATACTGAAATATGAACATGAAATCGTATCTCGGAAAGTAAAGGCAACTAGTTTGGTTTTATTAGTTCTGGGAGGATTTTAACACTTTTCAGCTGTCTAGTTTTCTTTATTCTATTTAGGGCATATATAGACTTTGGAATTCTTAATTCCTTAATGTAAGTAATTTATAAAAAGGAGTAAGGATTATTTTTTCTTTTTAAGGACAGCGTCTTCTAAACCAGTTGATTATATGAAATCATTGCAATTATGATATATT